GTTGCAAGTAGACTGGGTCTCTGTATCTTGCCTGGCCGCTATGGAGGAAGCTCCCTTGCTGTAGGCGTGGCCGGTCTCAGGCTGCTACTCTGCTATGGCGGGGTGCCATAGGGGGAACAGGCGGGGGGCTGTTTATTGCTGTGAGGGGTCTCAGAGCTGCTGCCCAGGGGGTTAGGGCGCCCAGAGTTCCCCAGGATTCCCAGCTGCTTGGCTAAGTGTTCCATGATGCTTCCATCCAGCTGTGGGGTCCCTGTCCCTTTAAGACTTTCAAAAAGCACTTGCTTTTCTTTGTCCCAGGGGTGCTGGCTGCAGGGACCCACTCACAGATCTTACTGTCCTGTTTCCCTAGTTTCCCACACTCCTTGCACTGTGTGTCTGCACTCCGGGTGTGGATGGCTGGGGCTGGCTATTTAGCAGTCCTGGGCTCCCTCTCCCTCCGTGCTCCAACTCCTCTCCTCCCGCTGGGAGCTGGGGTGAGGGACACTTGGGTCCCGCCGGGCCAGGGCTTGTATCTAACCCCCTTTGCAAGGCACTGGGTTCTGGAAGGTGTGGATGTGGTCTGGCTGTTGTCCTGTATCTTCTGGTCTCTCTTTTAGGAATAGTTGTATTTGTTGTATTTTCAAAAATTTATGTTTTTGGGAGGAGATTCCCACTGTCCTACTCATGCCACCATCTTGGCTCCGCTGCTTTTTGTATTTTTAGAGCATGTAATGGTAGGTATCAACACAGTATGATATTAAGATTTTTTTGGTTAAGGTATTATTGATATACACTCTTATGAAGGTTTCACATGAAAACAATGTGATTACTACATTCACCCATATTATCAAGTCCCCCCCATGCCCCATTGCAGTCACTGTCCATCAGTGTAGTAAGATGCCACAGAGTCACTACTTGCCTTCTCTGTGCTACACTGTCTTCCTCATGATCCCCCCCACAACATGTGTACTAATTATAATACCCCAAAATCCCCTTCTCCCTCCCTCCCCAATCGCCAGAACCCCACCCCTCTCCTTTGGTAACTGCTAGTCCCTTCTTAGAGTCTGTGAGTCTCCTGCTGTTTTTGCTTTGTTGTTATACTCCACAAATGAGGGAAATCATTTGGTATTTGTCTTTCTCTGCCTGACTTATTTCACCGAGCATAATAGTCTCCAGCTTCATCCATGTTGTTGCAAATGGTAGGATTTGTTTCTTTCTTACGGTTGAATAGGATTCCATTGTGTATATGTACCACCTCTTCTTTATCCATTCATCTGCTGATGGACACTTAGTTTGCTTCCATATCTTGGTTATTGTAAAGAGTGCTGTGATACACATAGGACTGCATACATCTTTGACATTTAGATTTTATTGGGTATGTTTAAAATAAGGATACAATGGATTATTTCAAATTCTTAACATAATACACTGGAAATAACACTCTGTGATTATTTAAACTTAAAGGACAAGTCTTTCTTGAATGTAATTCATGGGTAGAAGATTCAAATGGTACATAACACTACAAAGCCCACAGCTCAGTTTGAAATTCTGGTATTGGTTGTTTTCATTCTCAATCCACACTTGGCACTGCTGGCATTTCCACCCCTCCATCCACTCCTGTGTGTTACTGGAACATGGTTTCCTCCTCAACATCATCCCTGCACTACCTCAATAGAACCAAAAACTTCACCAGGAGCACAGCCTAGGTTTTTTTTCATCTTTGTATTCTTCCATATCAACAATGCTTTGCATATAGTAGGTATTGAAATTTTTCTTATTAAAATAGTTTGCGTGTCGATGACACTGGTATTTGTCCTTTCCTGTCTTGAGACCTTGTGCTTAGAACCCAGACACCACACTGTGGGAAAGTCTAAGCTTCCTGTGAAGAAGTCCTCACAAAAGGCCCACATGGAGAAGGATTAAAGTCTTTGGCCCTTAGCCCTGACTGACCTTCCAGCTCAGCTTCCCCACCTTGTCAGGTACATGAATGAACCATTTTGGAAATAGATTCAATAACACTCAGGGGCCTACCCCAGCCAGTACCACATGAAATAGAGATAAACCTTCTTCACTGAAAACAGCCCAAATTGCAGATTGGTAATTGCTTAAGCCACTACATTTTGGATGGTTTGTTATATAGCAATAATAACTGGGATACACTTCAAATAACAGATAAATGTTATCTTTAATCTGACATAGTACTTCTGCTCCAAGAAACAAAGCCATGAGAGTAAAGAGTCTATATACCTAGCTTAAATGAGCACATTATTAATCCCAACTTAGTGGAGAAGCTGCACTGGAGGAGGGAAGGATAGGGTGATTAAAGAGCAAAACGGAATGATAAAAAGGGGAGAAAATGACACCAATTTCTCAGACTTTCAGCACTAAGGTAAGTAAAGTAAAAAGGCATGCCACCCTGCCAAGTAGCATGGGGATGGTCATAGCTCAAGGAGCTAAGAGACTTGTTTTAGGAAGGAATCTGCTCCTTACAATTGGAAGGAATTCTTTAGTCCTCTCTCTTATTTTTATAATTGGGAAAAAAAAATAGATACCTAGAAAGGTAAAGTGACCAGGTCATGCAGGTCATGGGTCCAAGGCCTGCAATTACATCACACTGCTTAACTGGAATCCTGCTTTGAATTTACAGACAAAATCTACCACCTCGGACTATGGGGGTGAAGTGTAAGGGAATGGTCCCTATATTACATAATAAAGAAGCAACTGTCCCATCTCTCTGAAAAATATTCCTAGATTTTCAAACAGGAGTCTAATCGGAGAGCCATGGAGATCAAGGTAAGAGAAAGGGAAAGAAAAACCAAATCAAGGGGATGGATGGTGCAATACCTGGGGCTACTTCATTGAGGACAACCAAACTTACTGATTCAAGAGAGGGAGATCTATCTGAAGAGGGTGGACTAGAAGGAAATGAAGTAAAATAGGGGTAATCATGAGTATAGCATTCTTTCACCTCCTTTTTCTTCATCAAATACTCAACTTTGTTTCAGACTGACAGTTTCCAGAAGGCTCTAACTATATTACCAGAAAGAACTAACCAGTAAAGGCCTTACCCTCCTATTGGTTCCCGCCTTCTCTCATGGAGAGTAAACCCTTGCCACATCACTTATTACACTCCCATGGAGGACAAAGCACCTAAAATGTCAAGAAGTGGATGAGTGTAGCACTCTGGGATACTTTTATCCATATTTTTGAAATACAAATACTTCTTTCCATAATACGATTTCACTATTTTACTGAAATAAACTTATGGATTGGCAAATGGATTTCATCCAGATCTTAAGTTCAAAAATTTTTATTTGTAGTCTTTATGATAAAAAAACTAAAACTAAACTAAAATTCCCATATAATTTCTCTAGAAAAATAGTATGCATAGGAAAAGTGGAACATGGTCCATGGTATTATCCTGTCTGGTCAAGTTAACAAGACTGTAAAGGCAGAACACAAGAAGCTTGCAAATTAGATAAAATCTTGCTACTCAAGACTCCCATCATCAAATCAATCATCTCAGTAATTTAGAATCTGTCACAAGTATAGTAAGTGCAATGTTGCAATTATGTTCTTTAGCTGGCATTTTGGTTCATCCTGAATCTATGGTTTCATGCAGGCTTAAAATATCAGATCATTGGAAGCCAGGTCATAGGCTTTTTTTTTTTTTTAACACTCAAAGCTAAGATTTAACATTCTAAAGCTAGGAAGCAGTAAGAAAGACCAAACAGCAACAAAAAATTAGTTTTGTGCTGACCTGTATAGAAATGTAGTCACTTTTTAAATTCTCAAAATATAGAATCAGGACCACTGTTGGGTAAGAGCCATATGGTGATTTGAAGGTACATACAAAGTACATGGCAACATAGATCACTTCTCTGATATCACATCATAGTTGAAATTCTTAGTGAGAGAGTTACTGAGAGCTAGCACCAAAAAGACTGAGAGCTGAGCTGTTGACCAAAACACACAGACTACTTAAATGAAGTAACCCATTTATATACAAAAACTATTATTTCATTAGGTTGGGAAGTTGTGATGAGACACATAAAACATTCACATTTATTTTTTATTCTTTAGATTGGTGATTCTCAACTTTATTATATATCCAATCACCTGGGAAACTTACTAAAAATGCAGGTGCTTGGATCCCAACCCATTGAATCACAATGTGTTCCAGCATCTCCATTTTGTAACAAATTACCTTGGTGATTCTGATGCAAGCCACAGTATAAAATATATTATTTAATCACAGTTTTACAGTCAACTATTGTTCTCTAATATTTAGCAGTGAAACAGCTGTAATCTCTCTCCAAACACATGCACACACACAATATCTAAATGTTGAGGTAATTTCAGCAAAGACAATTCATTTTTCTTGGCCAGGGTTAAAAGCCCAGGTGAATGTACTGTGGCTGGGATAGAAAAGCAAAGATCAGCATAAGGCTACCTTGGTACTTTTTGGAAGATAAGGGACAGAGAATAGCAATTCAGGAAGGGAGAAGTAAAAAAAACCCCCTGCTAGAAATCTCATTATAGAAAACTGAAAGCACAATATATACACATCTTTCATCTACCTAGTTTTAAAAAATAAAAAACCATGGAGAAACAGTAAAATAGAATCTGATAAAAAGAAAGTTCCTGGCTGAGTACCTGCTCAAACAGCACAATCTGTGATACAGTAAATGGTTTACAAGCCCAGACGTCACAGTGGCAGACCCTGTTCTTCTGCCTGAACCATGGTCTAGAAACACATGAGGCGTACCCACTCCTGTGCCTCCAGCTGCTAGCCTGAAGATGGGAACTTCATCCTATTACAACACTTACTGATATTTCAAGGCAAGGCCCTACATGCTGCTATTAGTGCTACAAGTACATAAAAGATTTCTAAAACCAGTTACAAAGACCAAGATATCATCATTCATGTTTACCCAGAACTCAACACTTTTTTTTATTACTGTGAATTAGTTCCTTTATACAAATAGTAAAACAAACTCCAAGAGATGGCAAATATTTACCTGGTCCCTGTTGTTGATGTTTGAGTAAGGTAACTGTCCAGTCATCAATTCATATAGAACAATCCCGAATGCATATACATCTGATTGAAAGCTGTAAGGGTTTTTATCTTGCATCCTGATTACTTCCGGTGCCTATGAGAACATAAAAAGAAAAAGATTCTTGTTTATTCTTCACTTCAACTGAATAAAGACTAAACACCAAACTTCTTATTTCCAGAACAATATTTTTATCATTAAGTAACCCATCTAATATGTAATCAATTCTCTCATTAATGGTCAAAGAAATAAAACTGATTAAGACTAAAAATAAGCTCTGTAAATTCTGCAACGGATAGTATTAGCTGAGAGTATTATGAATTACTAAGATATTTTATCAGCTACCCTTTTTTTGCACAAAATAATGTCACTGCTATTTGAATTCTTTCTGTGACTCACCCTATCAAAAATCAGTTCCCACTTCCCATTCCTGGTTCAACAAAGAAATACTAGACCTGTGGTTATGTTTGGGAGTAACACAACCACAATGGTAACTGCCTCAGAACTTAAGTTTTCCCATTGGTACAGATGATTCTCATCTCAGGACACCTTAGACAATAATGGTAAAATTTCAAGAACAACAAACTCAAATTACTTTCCTGCCTCCAAAAGCAGAATAAACATGCCATGGATGCTTTAATAACAAAAATAATATACAGCAGGGAAATTTAGCATAAGATGGTATAAAGAATCCTTTGGTGCTGCTTCTTGGGCAAAGATACAGACTGAGTCATAATTGCATCATTTTTACACATTTCAGTCACTATTCTACAAATAGATTTCTCATTAGCTGCTTACATGAAATATAACAAATGTTTGGCTAAATGTTAGCTTAAAAGACTTCTTTTGCCATGCATCTTCTGTATTGTTACATTTGGAAGGAATTAGAGGAATTGGAGGGTATTAATAGAAACTTTTGAAAGCATTAGTTTGAGAGAAAAACCATGACAACTGTAAAAATCAATGAAAGACCTGGGACAAGACTCCTGGTTATTGGCCAGGGTAAGGCAGGTCATACTGTGTCATGAGCCAGGCATTAATGGCACTCAGCCTCCCCTGCAAATCAGAATTACCTGTGCAGGCTTTAACCTCTCAATATCCAGACAACATTCCAGTTCAATAATATAACATCAGAATTGGGGGATGGGATGCAAGCACTGCTAGTTTTTAAAGCTCCCCAGATGATTTTAATGTCCAACCAAGGTTGAGAACCACTGATGGAAGATGTGTAGATCCTGATGAGAGTGAAAGGATGGGGGTGAAGGAGAAGGCTGTACCTACTTACTTCTGTCATACATTTTATTGATAATTAGTTTTAGTAATACAGTAAAAAATAAACCACATACAACTGTGATGTAATGAACAAGCCAGAATACTGAGAGGCTAGTTATGATACAGATGTAATTTTCAAAGCCAGAATATAATTTTTGTAAGGGGCACAGTAATAAATCAGTTGAAGAACTGTCTTTTTAAAATTGTTTTACCTCACCATTGTTGGTAGACGGCTTCATGAAAAGTTGTATGTCATTTATTTATAAGAAACGCATGACTGATGCTCAATTAATTGTGATTTAATTTGTAAAATTTTCACAAAGGTTTTTTTTCTCCTCTAAGACATAGGTAAAACAAGTCTGAGAAGACTGGTGTTAATAATTCAGAGAATTATATAACCTTAGTTCTGACCCAACTCTTCTCTCCTAGTCTATGGATATTCTATATTTGTTTCTGAAGGCAATATCAACCCCAAAGGTTAATTCAACAACTAAGCTAATCTCTTGGGTTAAGACTCAGCTTGATGGAATAAAGGATGAACCCATCCAACTAGGTATTAACAAAAAAGTTATTAGAAGAAAATATGAAACTTCATTGTGTAACAATTTAGTTGTATAACTAAGGTTTTGGGTAAGGACAAATCTGGAGATTTGACTGAACCTATTTCTCCCACACTAGTTAAAATAAGCACACCTTTAAAACATGTATCAACTGTTTCTTTGTAATTGTGGGTTTTGCAATTTCAGTAAATAAAATGTGCTTAAAAAATATGCTTCTCCCCTCTTCTTAGGATACACTGTCATCTTTGTTATGAGGGGTGTAACTTATGGTACCTGATATCCAGGTTATAATTATTAATTAGGCTCTTTCTTATAATTATCAAGTTATATACAAATTTAAGGAAAAGGAAATCTAGCTAGCTCTAATTACTGAATCTTAGATATAGAAAAGGCATTAGAAATTCATTAGTTCAACCCAACATTAAAGATGGAGAGACTTGGAGGAGGTTAAGAAACATGCACATCGAGTCAAACAGAACACTGGAGCACAGACCTCCTAACTCTTAAGTCCAGTGCCCCCGGTTTTACCTTGCCACTTGCCCTAATTTCAGTTACTATAAGAAAAATCATAGCTGAATTTAACTCTAGGCTTAATTTAACTAATTCAGTTACCTTGAAATTCAGTACCTTGAATTTTCCTTCTTGGGGACAGTTACAGATACAGTTCAGGGAATTTAAGGCAAATGTGGCTTTCAAAGCCCTACAGCTACTCCGTTTCCAGCAGGGTCCTGGAAGTCTTAGTGCAGATTCAATAATTTAAGGCTTGAAACTGCACTAATGGTTTTGGGATAGTCTTTATTCAGCTTAATGCAGTGGTTCTCAAACTTTTTGGTCTCAGGATTCTTTCAGTTTTAAAAATTATTGAGAACCCCAAGAAGCTTTTGTTTATGTGGGCTCTACCTATGGCTACTTATATTAAAATTCAACTGAGGAACTGTTAAAATATTAATTCATTTAAATCATAGAATAATGATCAGATGTTAACAGAGATCACCCATTTTTAATAGAAAATATATTTTCAAAAACAAAAATGTTTACTGAGAATAGTACTGCAATTCTTCTTTTACTGCCTAGTTTAACAGCAGCCAGCTAGAGTCATGTATTTGCTTCTGTGTTCAATCTGCTGTGATGTACTGTTCTAGTTGAAGAATATGAAGACAAATCTTGTCTCACACAGGGACAACCTTGGGCCTCTGAAAGGGCCTTTATGAGTCTAAGAGAAGTGCTTGCTTAGAGAATGCGTCCTGTTACTGCCCACGCACAGCCTGCTGAAAGTAACTGCAGAGCCTGAGTTCCCTTCTTCCAGAACTTTTCTTTTCTTCTTTTCCATAAAGCAGAAACAGGAATAAAGAAAGAGAAAGAGCTATGCATGGCAGCACAAGACTGACAGTGTAAAATCTACCTCTCATTTTTTGTTTAGTCTTTCTCAGCTGCCCTGTAATTACAAGGTTCTTTCTAAAGGAAGTAACTTCCCAATTTAGGTTTAAACAAAATGGTGAAATAGTTTGTCTCTTAAAAGTAGTTTTCTTAGCAAAACCTTAATAATGGCTGCTACAGATATACCTGCTTAAACAGCATTATTTGTTTTTTTTTGAAACGGTACTCACAATGTTTTGAACACAAAATATTTTAGAGATAATTATGAATAAACTTTAAACAGTGTTTATAAAATATGTATTGTTTTGTTTGAGATATATTGAAACTGGCTTCATAGTAATTCTTTTTAAAGACAGGGTTAAAATCTGTTTACATAAAAAAATAAGATCAGCATTGATTTTTTGTGAATACTGGGAACTATGAAAATATTTTAATTGAAACCCTCAATGACTTTCGAATAACTCAGCATCATCTCAGGATCCAAAAATTTAATTAATGGAGAAATAGCCTCAATTCTTACCATCCACAAAATGGATCCAGACAACTGTTCAAACTGATGGGACCCACTCCATCGAGATTTCACTGTGGCTAGACCAAAATCACCTATTTTTACTGTGAGGTCTTCATGAAGAAAAATATCTGAGGTGTAGTAAGTAAAGGAAAACAATAGATCCCATTTTCCTATCAGAGCAACAAGCATTAGGAAAATTTTAGGTAAGAGATCTAATTTCTCTAATTCTGTAATACAATCATCTTCTTTTAAAAAGTATCATACTTCATATTTCATGTTAATAAATATATTTAAAAAAATAATTAGCTCTATTTGGTCCATATGACCTGCTTTTAAGATTTTTCGGTCTTGAAATGTGGTAGGATAAGGTGAGATGCTTTCCTAAGTTGATGGGGGACCTTGAAACTTCCCCACAGATTTTAGTAAGGTAGGCCCAAGTATTGTTTTGGCCCTGTGGGGAAGCTGTAAAAGCTCTTTGCCGGGACAAAGTCAGCTGGCAGACTCAAGATCTTAATCTGAGTTTATGGAAGAAGAAAAATTATGTTTCTCTCACCATACCGTTAAGTAACTTAGAGCCTTCAGCTACATCTCAACTACTGCTGAGCAAGGTCATAGCACTGAAAGACACGAACAGATAGCTACCTGTTTTATAGTGCTGATAGAATGTGAGCAATCAATCAAAAAAGTACCAACATCACAGACTTGATAGATGTTTTTGTAATGTTCAGAAAACAAAAATAGGGTGTAGTACTTTGCTCTACTATACTTTCATGCAAACCCATTAATTCTTTTTACAGTATATTGAACTTAGCATGAAAACTGTTTTTACATAATGTGAAGACAAAATGCAGAAGAAAAAGTCAGGATGTTTTCAAACTTCGCAGACAAATTTCAGGAAGGATACTATTACTCTTGAGGTCTCTGTGGATGATTGACTTGGCGTGTAAGTAACTGAAAAACAAAACATCATTTTAACCTGAGTAGGGCTAACGACTCTGGCCTCAAAATCTACAGAACACATATTGAGGGGTGTAAATACTTATTTAGAATCATGATACAAGTGCAAAACAGTACACTGTGATAATGCTTTTAAATAAGAAATATTAAAATAGACTGTAACTGAATTTAGGATTCTAGGAACATAGTAGTATTATGATTATAGCAAAAATCTTGTTTTCTATTAAGACTTTATCTTTTACTGTTTACCAATACAAACCTTTCACTCCAGTCAAGCCTATTTATCCATGTCCTATAAGTATTCCTTAATACTTAATCCCACCTGTGATTAATGCTCCCTTCCCACACCCATCCCCAATTATCTTTCATTCTATTCTGTTTATACCCATCCTTTAAGACAGCACATACACTCTAATTCCTGAGAAGCTTTCTAAGAGTAGCTCAACTGAAAGTGATCTTTCACTGTTCAGTGATATAATTATTATAACAACTTATTTTTTTCATCTGTGTATGTTCATTTTCTATTCAGCATGTAAACCCCACTAGAATATGAAAGTTTTACAAATTAAAAACATTTGAAAGATAGCATTATGTGTTCTTAAAATAGCTTCTTAAAATGAATGAGGAGCAAACTTCCTATATTATGGCTACAGTGAGTCTATTTTCAAGTCAAAGTTGAAATCATCCATGTTACCCCTCAGAACGCTTCAGTTCATTGAGGGAAAGGGCTGTGTCATACTTATTTCTGTTTATCCCCATTGCCTAGTACAGTGCTCGGCATGTGGTAAGTATTCAACACATCTGTTGAATCAACTAAAGTCAGACTTCATGCAGTAAGCTGAATCTCTCCTCAGACACCCAGAGAAAATTTAGCAGCTGATTGGACTGGTATGAGTGATGGTGGTGACAAGATGTTACCTTATCCAATTTCAAATTATAGTCTCTCTTCTTGATGCCCTCCCCTCCAATCATAATCACAATATGGAAAGTGAGCAAGACTGAAGGGAGGGATATTCTGATATTGTGTAGTCAGTAATCATTTGTCACTTAAAAATAATTAAAATCCCTAATAAGCAGAATTCACACATTTTTCAGTTGTGCTCTGTAGTGATCTAAATTCTATTTTTACTTAAGATTTTCCAGTTTCTCATGTTTTTGAAAAAATCAAATTTATTGAGGTATAATTTGCATGTGACACAAAATGCACCCAATTTTTATGTAGAGTTTAACAAGCTAACAAATTCATACTTATGCAATGACGAGCCATAATCAAGATGAAGAATATCCATCACTTCCAAAAGTTTCTTCATACATTTCTGAAAATTAAAAATACCCTCCTACGCTCAACCACTGATAATGATCTGTCACTAGAGATGTTTTCCCTTTTCTAGAATCTCATATAACAAAATCATACGGCTTCTTTTGCTCAGAATAATGACTCTGAGATTCCCACATTGGTTGCATGCAGTATTCTAGTGTATGGATACACCACAACTAATCCATTTACCTGTTGGACATTTTTGTTCCTGCTCTGGGGCAATTATGAATAAGATACTATGAACATTCATGTATAAGCCTTTGTTGTCAATCTGTTTTTATTTCCTTTGGGTAAATAGGATTAGAATTGATCACATGTAACTTTAAAAGAAACTGTCAAGTGGCTGTACCATTTAAGATCCTTACCAGCAATGTATAATAAGAGTTCTAGTTACTCTCCATCCTTGCAAATACTTGGTATTGTTGATTTTGGTTATAAGCATTCTAATGGGTATGTAGTGTTGTCCTGTAGTTTTAAATCCCCTCTCCCTATAGCCTAATGATGTTCAACATCTTTGCATGTGCTTATTTGTCTTTCTTATATCCTTTTTAATAAAGTAACCCAATCTTTTGTCCATTTTCTCACTAGATAGTTTGTCTTATTACTGAGTTGTAATAGTTCTTTATATATTTTGGATACAAGTCTTTTAATCAGGTAATACAGCCTACGAACATTTCTTCAGGTCGGTGGCTTGAGTTTTTGTTTTCTTAACAGTGCCTTTCAAAAAGCAAAAGTTTTGAGTTTTGATAAAGTACAATTGATGAATTTTTTCTTTAACGATCCTTATTTTTTGTGTCGTATGAAATATCTGCCTATCTTTAGGCTACAAAGATATTTCTTCTAGAAGTTTCAGATTTTCGGCTTTTAGTTTGTTTGATCCATTTCTAATTAATACGTCTTTTGTCAGGTAAGAGTTAGTGATTTATTTATTTATTTATTCTATATGGCTATGAAGTTGTTCCAGAAACAGTTGTTGAAAAGACTATTCTTCCCATATGAATTGCCTTGGCATCTTGTTGAAAAAAACAAACAAAAACTGACCACAGGCACCACAGGATAATGGCTGTATTTCTAGGCTTTCTATTCATTTTTCTTGATTTATGTATTAATCCTTATGCCAGTAACACAGTCTTGATATGGTAGCTATATATAAAGTTTTGACATTTCATACCAGAAGTTCAACTTTTTTTCCCCAAAACTGTCTTTTGACTATTCCAACCATTGCATTTCTATATACCTTTTGATCAACTTATCAATTTCTACAAAAAAACCTGCTGAATTTCTGATTAGGATTACACTGAGTCTATAACTTCAATGTGGAAAGAACTGACATCTTGATATTGAGTCTTCTATTCCATGAACATGATATTTCTATGCCTTTTTTATTTCCTAGTTGGGGCCTACATTAGAGAGAGTACAATCCCCTTTGGAAATACTCTCATCATAGCTTCTAAGTAGAATACTGGCCTGAAGAGAATAAAAGAGGATGAATTATAAGCATGGAATATCATAGTACTGATGGACTAGCAAAAACTATGTTTTAAAATCATTTTTTAAGTTCATTTTAAACATTTATAAGCCCAAACGCATAACATCAGAAACATGATATTTATTTATGTATAAGAGCAAGGTAACTCAATGGGGGAAAGGAGTCTTCTCAACAAATATTATAGCTGGAACAACTGGAGAAATACTGGGGAAAAAATTCAACTTTTATCTTATACCACACATAAAAATCAATTTCAAGTGGACTGAAGACCTAACACTAAAAGCTATAAAACTAAAAACTATATAATTTCTGTAAGAAAATAGAATTTCTATCACCCTCTTGTACATGTATAGCATTTTTAAGTTTTCAGGATATTTTTACATCACTTGGTTTCATAACCTTCATGTTTCTTTGTGAGGCAAGCAAAGTCAGTAACTCCACTTCTGCTGGTGAGAAGACCAGAGCCCAGAGAACTTCAGTGACATCACCAGAGGCAGAGTGGGAAGGACATGGGTTCTAAGACACATTTGGGTCTGGATCCCAACTATGTCACTTACCAGCCATGTAACCTCAGGTATGCTGCATGATCTCTCTAAGCTTTGTATTTCTAATCCGTAAAATGGAGGTAATATGCTTATCTTTTTGGGTTCTCTCATTACTTAACATACTTATTGAAAGCCCAGACATGCTAATCAACAACTGCTCTAAGAGAGAAAGCAGAAAAACTTTACCCTCAAGGTGCTTACATTTTAGTATAAAAGAGAAAAATTAAAAGATCTATCAGTAGATTATGTAAGATTCTACAAGTGGGGGCCAGGAAATGCTGTTACAGAGGGCTGTAAATTTAGGGCAGGGAAGGCCTCTTTTCAAAGGACATTTTGAGTAAAGACTCAAAGAGAGAGCGAGAGACTCATGCAAATATGGGGTAAGAACACAGCAGGCAGAGGGACTAGCAAGGGCAAGTCCCTGAGGCAGGCATGCGTTTCCCATAATCTCAGAATGGCAAGAAGGCAAATGTGATTTGGAACAGAGGGAACAAGAGACAGAGGAGTAGTTAAAGAGTTGAGAGAGGCAAAAGAAAAGGCAGTGGGGGAGAGAGGGTTGTGGTGGTGGTCACACTGAGAAAGGCCTATTGTAAGGACCCTGGTTTTCTTTCTGAGTGAAATGTAAAGACACTGGCAGAGCAGAGGAACAATATAATCTGACCTATGTCTTAAAAGGACCACTCTGGCTACTACTGTGTTAAGCTATGATGAGAGTAATTCCAAAGGGGATTGTACTTTCTCTAATGTAGGTCCCAGCTAGGAAATAAAAAAGACATAGAAATATCATGTTCATGGAATAGAAGACTCAGTATCATGAAGACGTCAGTTTTTCCCGCATTGAAGTATAGACTCAACACTGTGTTGAAAATAAACTGAAGGTGGGATAAGGGTGGAAGCAGGACACTAATACAGGCAAGAGGTAATGGTGGCTTGAATAAGGGTGAATAAGTTGTAAGATTCTAGATATACTTAAAGATAGAGTGAACAGGAATTTGATAACAGATTGGCTGTGTAGAGAAAAAGAGACGAGTCAAAGATAACTATAAAATGTTAGACATAAGCAGCTTAATGAACAGAGCAGCCAGTTACTGAGATGAAAAGGAATGTAGGAAGAGCAGGCTTGAGGAAAAAAATTGGGACCTAAGCATTAAACATTAAATTTGGTATGTCTATTAGACAAGTAATGTGGAACAGAAAGTTGGATATAACAGTTTGGATTTCAGAGGAAATGAATTGGCTTGAGGCTGGCATAGAAATGGTAATAAAATGGTAACTCCAAGCCATGAAACTGGATGAGATCACCAAGGGAATGGAAATCCCTGAGATCCCAAAATTTAGAGAGGTTAAGGAGTTGAGGAAGATCTAGCTGAGAAGAAGCAGATAGTAAATAGAAGGAAAATCAAGAGAATATGCTTGAAAGCAGTGCTTCTCAAACTTGAAAATGATTTGGGTTCCTATTAAAATGTAGTCTCCAATTCAGTAGGCTTGGGGTAGTACCTAAAATTCAGCAGTTTTAAAAGGCTCCCAGGTGGTAGAGAACAACTCAGAACACATTTTGAGTAGCAAGGGATTAAGAGTGGGTTTCAGAAGGGTGTGAAAACTGCATTGTATCTTTCTTTTTCTAAATTGAAGTATAGTTGAT